GTATTTTCTCCCATTTTTTCATATTAAATTATGTTTCATAGCTAAATATTTGATATTAAATGAAAGCCCTGTTTCCCCTGAATAAAATGATATATAATAAGGGTGGGTGCATTTACTATGAAAGAGGTGTATTACGGTTGGACAGACATGTAGCGCAAATGCCAGGTTTTGTTTACATTTTGTTTTGTTCACAATGTGTACATTTGGCTCCGTCCTTAAGGGGTTAAAGCTGTAAAACAAAAACATGGGCGGGTTGCTGATACTGCCATGAATAATAGCCAGGAAAAGAAAATTACGGTAAATATGGAAAAAACATTCTATATTCCTAGCTAATCATGGCAGCATCACTTATGGGTAATACCCAAGTTAAGACCAATGCGAGGGAGAAAAAACAGATACTTTTAGTCTGCTGCAACTATATTTTATTCATGAGAAGTAACAGAGGATAAAACTCCTCTCCCAAAGGAAGTAGATGAAGAAGCTACATCCAGCTTGTAGTGTTTGATGAATGTCATAGGAGAAGACCATGTTGCTGCTCTGCATATGTCATCAGATGAAACCTCTGCCCAAGTAGCCCAGGAGGTAGCCAGTGCTCTAGTCGAATGAGTCTTTATTTTCTTCGGAGGAGATAGGTTTTTAACATAGTAAGTGTTCTTTATGGTGTTTGAGATCCAACGCTTCAAAGTAGCGGTAGAAGCAGCTTCACTTTTTCTGTAGCCAGATGGAAGAATGAATAAATGTTGTGACTTTCGAAATTGATTAGTGACAACCAGATATTTCATCAGACATTCCTTAACATCCAATTGATGGAGTCAGAGGAGGAAGGGTTTGAATAAATGAAGGCAGGACAACTTCTTGTGAAACCTGGAATCGTGAAACCACCTTAGGTAGGAATTCCACTGTAGGTCTTAAGATAATTCTATCGTGGAAGACCTGTTTATGATTCTCATCACTGGAGAAGGCTTGAATCTCAGACATTCTTTTAGCCTTGGTAATTGCGACTAAGAACAATGTCTTATAAGTCAGAATATTAATGCCCAACTCATCCAAATGAGCAAAGGGGGTGTCAAACAGAAAATCCAGCACCATAGGAAGATCCCAAGGAGGAGCATAATTTCTGGATGGAGGTCTTATACGTATAGCTGCCTTGAAGAACCTTGCTATCAGAAGATCTGATGCCCAGGAGGTGTTACACTGTGTAGAAAGAGCCAATGACTGTACTTTTAATATGCTTAAGCTTAAACCCTTCTCCAGACCTGCATGTAGAAATTTAAGAACATCAATATTAGTAGGATGCATTAAGTTTATGGAGTTTTGTTCTGACCATAACCAAAAAATATCCCATATTCTATGATAGCACGCTGAAGTGGATCCTTTTCTGGATTTCAAAAGCGTTTCAGCCACAGAGTCAATCCTTGCTCTAAGAGTCTCTGCTTCTCAAGAGCCAAGACCCCAATTTCAATTGGTTTGGATTGTGATGAACTGCTGGACCTTCGATCAACAAATCTGTTCTCCGAGGAAGTGGCCATGGAGGACTCAAGCTCATTTTGTTCAGGATCGGTAACCAACAGGGTGGAAGGTCTCCTTGGCCAAATCGAAATTATTGCAATGACCATCTTCCCTTCTTTCCAAACTTTCCTCAATAATCGGTGAATCATAGGCAGGGTTGGGAATACATACCCCAGATAGAAGTCCCAGGGACGGGAAAAGGCATCTTGTCCTGCTGATCGATAGTCTGCTTGTAGTGAAAAATACTTTGGGACTTGAGCATTCCTGTTCGAAGCCATCAAGTCGACCTGAGGCGTGCCCCACCGTAACGATATAATTTGAAATACTTCTGGATGAAATTTCCACTCTCCTGCTCTGCTCAGATAGTCTGCCAAAACATTTTCCAGTCCTGGGAGGTAAACTGCATTCAGACCCTGTATCTTGTCTTGAGCAAGTTCTATAAGTGGAGCTTTACTTCGGGTTCCACCCTGTCGATTTATATATGACACCACAGCTCTGTTGTCTGTTTGAATTCTTACCCAAGAGTTCTTTAGGCACTGCTGAAATCCCAAAAGGGCATAGTATATCGCTCTTAGTTCTCTTAGATTTCAATGTGTCATCCTCTCTTCTGATGTCCATGTACCCCGTATCCAATGCTCTTCTAAATGTGCACCCCATCCTTGGAGACTTGCATCTGTGGTAACTGTCTTGCATGGTGGTTCTTCCAATGGAAATCCCAGAAATAGGTGTTTCCTTTTCATCCACCAAGATAGGTCGTCTAATGTTTTCTAAGTGAGAAGAATTCTCTGATCCCAGTTGCACTCTCGTTTATTGAGGTTTTGTAAGAATTTCATTTGAATTGGACGCATGTTACACTGTGCCCATTTGCCTAATTCTATGGTGGACGTGAGAGAGCCCAGGTTCAGAGGTTTTTACTTGGAATACGGGATCCTCTTCCTCTAGATGATTTTGTAAGGTGTCAGATAGTTCCTCCAGTTTGGTCTGGAATATTCCTTTCCTGGCTTATATGTTCTGCTTTCTCGAAAGGAACGGTTCCTGTACCTCTTCTCTTTCCATGTGGTAGAACCAAATTTTCTTCTTTCTTGTGGAAGAAAAGCTTTTTTGCTATCAGCTGCCTTGTGAATAGCTTCATCCAGGACTTTACCAAATAGAAGATCTCCTTGGAATGGGAGGGCACACAGGAAGGCTTTAGAGGCATAGTCTACCCCCCAGGAGCTTAACCATAGCGCTCTTCTTGGTGCAACTGACAGGCCCATGCGTTTAGCCACCATTCTAGAGACATCCAATGAGGCTTTAGAACAAAATTCAGTAGCAAACTTCAATTCTTTAGTCGGTCCAAAAGATGTTCTCTCCGGACTCCTTTAGCAATGTCTTCTTCTAAGTTTTCTAACCAAACTTTAAATGCTCTTGACAAAGTGGTTAAAGCTACTGCTGGATATAGTACAGATTCTAATGCTAGGTATGACTTGATAAGATTTGCATCCAGTCTTTTTTCCATAGGCTCCCTCAGATAAGCTATGGAGTCAATAGGTAGAGTGGTCTTTTTAGCCATATAGATAACTGCTGCGTCAATCTTAGGGACGGAGTTCCATGATCTTTCGCATAGGGATATAATCTGAATGCTTTATTAAGAGTTACTTTTCTCTCTGGTTTCAGCCATTCCTGGGAAATAATTTCCTTTATGGTAGAGTGGACAGGAAACGTTGGCCTATTAGCTTTCAGATCTTCAAAATATCTGTCTGATTCTTTCATCTCTGATTTCTCCTCCGGGAATCTCAGAGTCTCCCTTATGATGTTGATTAGTTGATCGACTGCCTTAGAGTCCAACGTTCTTGAAGCATAGTTTACTTCACCTTCCTCTTCGTCTGATGCATATTCGATTGTGTCCGAGTTTTCACTTGAATCTGTGGAATATTCTTCTCTTCTTAGGCGTTTGGATGAGGTCATCTTACTTGTTGTGGACTTGAACCCTTCTGCTATTGCCTCTGTAATCCACTTCTTTAAATCTGTTTGAGGTGATTGTCTTTTATCCATTACCTCAGCAGCTTCTGTCATACATTCTTTACAAAGATTTCTTCCACTAGGTGCTAGTTGATTGCAGTTTACGCATCTATTGGATTTATCTTTGTTTTCTTGGAGAATCCTCTCGTAAATTGCCTTGGCTGAAAGAGGCCAATATATTAATGTATTATCGGACCATAGTTGCCCTCTTTTCCCCACTGAATATGTAATAATTATTGAGGCTCACCTATGTTTTCTAGATAAAGATCTTGAGGCAGAGTGAGAAGCCATCTATAAAAAGAACGCAAAGATTATTTATAGTATTTAAAATTCCTTAAGAGATGAAAAAGGGTTTACATTTTCTTTTTAAGTATATATTTAACCTTATTAGATACATTTCATCTAGGGCAGCCTTCCAGCAAACTATACAGGTTCCAATCTCTGTAGAGTTACTGTATACCGAAAAAGAACTGTGACTCTAAGGTTCCTGGTATTTTGTAATTTTGGCGCAATGTTTCTTTAAGAACTCGGTGGCTTGCGCATGCACAAACGGATCTTCAGGATGCTGATGCTCCTGCACATGCTCCGCATACCAAGATCAGAAGAGACCGGAGAAGCCTGCTAAAAAAACTAATTCTTGCTCCTAGAGAGCCACAAGCAAAATGCTCTCTTGATATACATGGAAAGCACCAGGTACATATTCAGGCTAAGAGATTTAAACACTTACCCAGGCTTCTCCCAACTCTCTTCCCCAGGATCAGAGGGGGTTATTTGATGTATACAAGGGGAATTTTTAAGGTATATCCAACCCCACATCAAATGTAAATATTTGCAGTCCATTTAAAGGATTCCTCATGCTGTGGTACGTATACTAATATATACCTAACTCAGTTAGTCCTGCAGGCTGATTACTGAGTTCTTCAGATGAAGAGAGGCTGAACTTCATCTGGAAAACCCATGGTACACATGGAAAGGTGGCCTAAAAAAAAAATGGTCTTAGGAGACTAATCCCTGTTTGTCCTTTTTAAGGACAGAAAAAAAGATGGTGTGATAGAGGTAGGAGGGACCTTTTATGCCTACAGTCTGGTTCTAATTAGTTAATAGTTTTCTGCCCTGTTCCTGTTTGGGGCAGAGCTAACCCATAAGTTATGCTGCCATGATTAGCCAGGAAAGTGTGATTGAAAACATCTTCCACCTGAAGTCTGTGGATAGTTAAAACAATGTTAAACAAAAAAACTGCACACCAGTCAAGCCATAAGACTTGATTCTCCCAGAGAAATTACAAATTTGCAGTGATGTTACTACTGCAAAGGATTCTGGGTGGGCATATGCAAATTAGTTTAACAAAGAATCACATTTTTGCCTTTTTCCATTTTAAACATGGATTCCTTTATCTGTGTTTGCTGTATAAAACAGCTTTGAAACACAACTTAGGAAAAGATGCAAAACCAGTGAACCACTCATGGGCAGCTGTTTTGTTGTTAATGCAACTCATCAGCATGAGATTGGTTACTGGTTTGATTATTGAGGCTTGGCAGTGCTTGGGAAGCAAAAACCAAAACACTACCAAGCCTCAAAAGGCAAACCAGTAACCAACCTCATGCTGATGATTAGCATTAACAAATTACTTATTTTAATCATTCGTAATCCAACTGCGGACAGTAGCACACTAGGAGTTCTAAAAAAGATACAATATACACGTGTGTAAATACATTCAACCCAAAGGACAAAAAAGATATTAACAAAATAAAAAAAAACTGTACAGTATCTAAGCAGTACATGAACATTGAACATGATTCAATCTAAAATCGTAACAAAAATGAACAGGAAAGTCTGTGACCCAATAAGGGCTCGCAACCGTGACTGCTCAAATGGGTATGACTTGAATAAGATAATTCTATCATGAGGATGATTATTTATTGATAATCTAGGCATGAGATCTGGTAGATAGTGGACAAAATGTTGTGCCACCTCCACAGAAATGCCGTTAACGTTTACTTCTCGTTTAGTCTTCTAGGCCAAACAGTGTCCAAAGTCTATATACAGAATAATTCACGTTGAAGTAGTAACTTGCTGCAGTCACCTCCATGTCTCTAATGCGGGATCTGATCTATGGCAATCAATATCAGTTTTGGTAATGGATGTCCCATAGAGAGGAAATGTTTAGCTACTGGAAGTTCAGCTTTATTGTCTCGATATGTCGTGTGAATACTAGAGCAATAATTTTGCATACGTTCTCTCAATGGCAAGTCTGTCTTCCCCACATATGTAAGCCCACAAGGGCATTGTAATTTATAGACTACATGGTCTGATGTGCACGTTAGTCTATGGTGTATTTTGTATCTTCTTCCAGAGTGGGGATGGTTAAAGTATTTGCCAGAGATCATGTGGCTGCAAGTCACGCAACCTAGGCACTTGTAACATCATGTGTTCAGTGGAGTGTGTTTTTGTGTATAACAATTCTCAGGGTCGGTCTTGACCAGGAGGTCACTTAAGCTCTTACCTCACCTGTAACACATCATTGGTGGGTTCTTAAATATTGCCTGTAGTGTGGGGTTCCTCTCGAGTATACGCCAATTGGATTTAACAATTGTTCCCAATCCATGTGATGCCGTAGTATATGTGGTAGGAAAGACTTCTGAGGGGTAGTATTGGTACACTTAGCAAGGGCATTATTTAAAAAATGATCCTTGTAGCCCCTCTCTTTAAACTTAATCCACATATCCTGAATTTGTAGTGATGCTGTCTGAAGGTCTGAGTTGTTTCTGAAGACCCTCTTGAACTGAGAAAACGGTAAGGATTCCTTCAGGTGTCTTGGATGGAAGCTCTCTGCGTGCTAGAGAGTATTCCTGTCAGTAGGTTTCAAGAAACATTTATAGGAAAGCTTGTTCTAGGTATATATATATGTTTATCCAGGAAATCAGTTACATTATTACTCATATTACTTGTGAGTTTAATTGGTGTAGGTACCCCACTCCCTCTAGAATGTAAGCTCATTGAGCAGGGCCCCTCCACCTCTCTGTTCCTGTACGTCCAGTTGTCTGGTTACAATTACATGTCTGTTAGTCAACCCATTGTATAGTGCTACGGAATCTGATGGTGCTATATAAATAATAAAATAATAATAATAGGGGACAGATTAATGGTATCGATCATGGTGGCAACTGATTCCATATCTCCTTTCCATAATATAAGCACATCATTAATGTAACGGCGGTAGAATAGAACATTGTCTTTATATGGTCGTAAGATATGCATATCTTCAAAGACACACATAAGCTGCATACATGGGGGCCATTGCCGCTCCTATGAAAGTCCCGGAGATTTGCTTGTACCAGCTATTCTCGAATCTAAAGTTGTTTTGGGTAAGTACTTATTCCAATACCTCCAGGATATATTTCACCGGTGGGCCTGTGTATACTTTAGAAATGCTGATTACTTGTCGCTTAGCTTCTATGCCTGCTGAATGGGGTATCACAGTATACAGACTTTTTACATCACAAGTGACCAAAAGCACCAGTCCATCTGGTAATGTTATGTCGTTTAGTAGTAGTAATAATTGTGGAGTATCTTTTAAGCATGTGGGTAGTGACTCTACTGGTTTCTTGAATAAGTAATCAAGCCATTTGGCTAGTGGCTCAATCACACTCCCAAATGAAGAGCCAATATGCCATCCCTATAAGAGACAAGTTATACCTATTGAGCTTTCCAAATTCTACATACTCCCAGCCTTCGTATGTTTTATAATTGCATATATTTCTATGTAAATATTCATTTTCTAACCTTAGGAATTCTTTGTGACTTTGTTCCCAAGTATTGTTTTTAACCTATAATTGATAACACAGAAATGCCGTTAACGTTTACTTCTCGTTTAGTCTTCTAGGCCAAACAGTGTCCAAAGTCTATATACAGAATAATTCACGTTGAAGTAGTAACTTGCTGCAGTCACCTCCATGTCTCTAATGCGGGATCTGATCTATGGCAATCAATATCAGTTTTGGTAATGGATGTCCCATAGAGAGGAAATGTTTAGCTACTGGAAGTTCAGCTTTATTGTCTCGATATGTCGTGTGAATACTAGAGCAATAATTTTGCATACGTTCTCTCAATGGCAAGTCTGTCTTCCCCACATATGTAAGCCCACAAGGGCATTGTAATTTATAGACTACATGGTCTGATGTGCACGTTAGTCTATGGTGTATTTTGTATCTTCTTCCAGAGTTGGGATGGTTAAAGTATTTGCCAGAGATCATGTGGCTGCAAGTCACGCAACCTAGGCACTTGTAACATCATGTGTTCAGTGGAGTGTGTTTTTGTGTATAACAATTCTCAGGGTCGGTCTTGACCAGGAGGTCACTTAAGCTCTTACCTCACCTGTAACACATCATTGGTGGGTTCTTAAATATTGCCTGTAGTGTGGGGTTCCTCTCGAGTATACGCCAATTGGATTTAACAATTGTTCCCAATCCATGTGATGCCGTAGTATATGTGGTAGGAAAGACTTCTGAGGGGTAGTATTGGTACACTTAGCAAGGGCATTATTTAAAAAATGATCCTTGTAGCCCCTCTCTTTAAACTTAATCCACATATCCTGAATTTGTAGTGATGCTGTCTGAAGGTCTGAGTTGTTTCTGAAGACCCTCTTGAACTGAGAAAACGGTAAGGATTCCTTCAGGTGTCTTGGATGGAAGCTCTCTGCGTGCTAGAGAGTATTCCTGTCAGTAGGTTTCAAGAAACATTTATAGGAAAGCTTGTTCTAGGTATATATATATGTTTATCCAGGAAATCAGTTCCATTATTACTCATATTACTTGTGAGTTTAATTGGTGTAGGTACCCCACTCCCTCTAGAATGTAAGCTCATTGAGCAGGGCCCCTCCACCTCTCTGTTCCTGTACGTCCAGTTGTCTGGTTACAATTACATGTCTGTTAGTCCACCCATTGTATAGTGCTACGGAATCTGATGGTGCTATATAAATAATAAAATAATAATAATAGGGGACAGATTAATGGTATCGATCATGGTGGCAACTGATTCCATATCTCCTTTCCATAATATAAGCACATCATTAATGTAACGGCGGTAGAATAGAACATTGTCTTTATATGGTCGTAAGATATGCATATCTTCAAAGACACACATAAGCTGCATACATGGGGGCCATTGCCGCTCCTATGGAAGTCCCGGAGATTTGCTTGTACCAGCTATTCTCGAATCTAAAGTTGTTTTGGGTAAGTACTTATTCCAATACCTCCAGGATATATTTCACCGGTGGGCCTGTGTATACTTTAGAAGTGCTGATTACTTGTCGCTTAGCTTCTATGCCTGCTGAATGGGGTATCACAGTATACAGACTTTTGACATCACAAGTGACCAAAAGCACCAGTCCATCTGGTAATGTTATGTCGTTTAGTAGTAGTAATAATTGTGGAGTATCTTTTAAGCATGTGGGTAGTGACTCTACTGGTTTCTTGAATAAGTAATCAAGCCATTTGGCTAGTGGCTCAATCACACTCCCAAATGAAGAGCCAATATGCCATCCCTATAAGAGACAAGTTATACCTATTGAGCTTTCCAAATTCTACATACTTACAGCCTTCGTATGTTTTATAATTGCATATATTTCTATGTAAATATTCATTTTCTAACCTTAGGAATTCTTTGTGACTTTGTTCCCAAGTATTGTTTTTAACCTATAATTGATACATCACTACTGCTTAGATACTGTACAGTAGTGATGTCCCGAACAGTTCGCCGTGGTAAACTTTGACCCTGTACCTCACAGTCAGCAGACACATTCCAGCCAATCAGCAGCAGACCCTCCCTCCCAGACACTCCCACCTCCTGGACAGCATCCATTTTACATTCATTGTGAAGCTGCATTCTTAGTGAGCTGTCCAGGAAGAGGGAGGGACTGGGAGGGAGGGTCTGCTGCTGATTGGCTGGAATGTGTCTGCTGACTGTGAGGTACAGGGTCAAAGTTTACCGCATATGTTCGCCGTCCGTGGCGAACCATTCGGGGAACCGTTCGGGACATCACTACTGTACAGTTTTTTTTCATTTTGTTAATATCTTTTTTGTCCTTTGGGTTGAACGTATTTACACATATATATTGCATCTTTTTTAGACCTCCCAGTCCGCAGTTGGATTACAAATGATTAAGATAAGTAATACAAGCATGGCCAACAAGTTGGAACGCAAGGGCTCCGCCCCCTAAGGCATCTGGACCAGCGCGTTCTTGTAGATCACATTGACCGCGCAAGCCTCGATCCAGCTGCGGACGCTGCACACTTGTGAGAGGTAAGTACTCTAATATTGATAAGTTTACAAGGTATATAATGTGTGTAGAGTGGATATCACACTGTTTATTCGTCCTTATGAAAGCCCCCTTGCTGGTACTGAAATGTCGGCCATTCTTTTTATGATGAACTAATAAAAGTTAAGTATTATCTTTACTAGCCCTGTGAGTGCGGTCACTTTTCTGTATTTTTATATATATATATATATATATATTTTTTTTATAATTCTTTATTTTTGCTGTGCTTAAAACATGCTTAATAAACAAGGTAGACATCATGTCCTAGAGCATGAGGGTAATAAGAATAGATTATAGCAGAGACAGTGAGATGCCAAGGACAGATAGAGAGAAAGCACACAAGCAATATACACATTTACAGGTTAGTTGAATGCTTGTGCCAACCAAGGAGGCGTTGCTATGATCTATTAGCGATCTGGTGTCTGACAGAACAGCAGGAGACATATTAAGTAAAGCCTCTAAGACTGTTTTAACCCAGTAACCCATTCACTTGCGGTGGAGAAAAGAAGTATAAAAATAGGAGACTGCCATAGCTTGAAATCAGTGTAGGAAGCATCAACTCAACCTATGCCCTACAAGGACAGCCCACAGTCCCGATGGAACCATATTAGCATTCCCTTCTCCACACACAGTTATTCCAAAATGTTGCCCCTTGCACCGATCAGGGCCTCGCCGGGTCGTCCAGCTGCATGCATTGTCCCAGATGTGGTCCCTTATGACCCAGGCCCAGCCTTTTCATTCAGTAGGTATGGAGTCTTCCGGCGCTGTTGTGGAACTTTTGCTAAGGCCAAAACTGCCCTCTTCTTGATGGCTCTATGTGGCAGCCGCTGAAGCATTCCACTTGTCGGCTTTTGGTGCTCAGGAGGCTTTAATCTCTGTTGCAGCTTTTCCCAAAATTCTGCAAAGGTTCAGTATAGCTTAATGATGTTGGGATCTCTATCATCACAGAGCTCTGAAGGGCACGTGGCGTCTGCCATTGCTGATGCTCTGGGTCTTGTGAGCCCATCTCCAAATTTGCCGCTATTTGCCATATGTGCAGAGGGGCCTCCGAGGTGTAGACCAGGATCACTCCCACTGGTCCAGAGTGGAGGGCCGGGGGAAGGGGGTAGCAGGAGGATTCTATGTGGACCCAGTGCCTTGCTAACTAAGAGAGCGGCCGTGTCTCCTGTCCGGCATGTGCACTAGGCCTCACTATGCAGTGGATTGTGGCGACATGGACTGCTGTTTAGCACTTCACCTGTGTCCTTGCCTGGCAGGATGAGGTAAGTTTCGAACAAGTGCTGAACGAAAGCTCAGGGAGACAAGAAACCTGAGAGAATTGGTGGCTCTTACAAACTGAGTCCAGCCGCCATGAAGGTCAGACTCTGCCCCCAACTATCAATATGTTTTAATGATGGAAGTAGATAAGTTTATATATGCCACTGTAATACCAATAGAAAGGTCCTCTTAGAAATTTATTTTTATTATCTTCCCTCTGGTGTGAATGGATGGCTTGTTTATGGCAATATTGGGCACTAATGTAACTAGGCATCATCATTATTGTCATTTTTTTTTTTTTTAAAGGGAGGGGGACTGCTTGGACTCCCAGGCAGTCCCCAGAATCACTTCCGCCGGTTTGGGATTGGTAAGTCCCCTGGACAGCAGGGACATTCTATGCCGCCCTGCGGCATTTAGGACTGCCCCTGCCAGGATGGCATAGAACGCTCGCCATCCTTAAGGGGTTAAAATATATATTGTATATAAAAAAACACTTATTTTATGGTTTGAACAAATGTATTAGGAGTCTTGCGAGTGTCTAACTTATCTTCTTATGTTTCATCTGACGTCCTCTTTATGTCTAATACAAATAAATAATTAAACAAAAGTGTAGTATGTGACTATTGTACACTGTAGGGATAATAACATTTTTAAAAAACAGAGGCATGAAAGCGATTTAGATATTGTATCAAAGGTGTGTTCTATAACATTAATATGCAAATAAATACATATTTTTGAACAAGTGAGTGTTTTTCTCATGGTTTAATTAGTATCAATGTTGGGAAGAAGTTAAGCATGGTGCTTAAGGTGTGGTTCTAAACTATGGAGCTTACAGCATACTAATCTAGAAAATCTTTAACTGTTAATTAACACAATAAGCTTTACATAAGCTATGGCTTTAGATATATCATATACCTCTGCCATGCCTTACAACATTTCAAATGGAAAACATGAACAATGTATCTTATTTACACAGACTGGTTCCAAAAAACATTTACTGTTTAAATATACATTACTGTGAGTTACTGTTATACAATCAGACACATCAACAACATGTAGCTCCTAAAAGAGAGTGATAATAGGATAGAAATAGGGACACTTGGGAGCTATGCCTCTACTGATAATACTATAAGCATCAAAACAACCTTAGCTTAATGAAGCAGTTTTAGTGTATATATCATGCCCTTTCACTCTCACTGCTCAATTCTCTGCCATTTAGGAGTTAAACCACTTTTGTTTCTGTTTACAGCTTGCATAAAAAGTGGTTTTATTTTCAATCAGTTAACGTTATTTACAAGTTTATATCTCCTGCTCTGTAATTGTACTTTAATCACACTCGAGGCTCCTGCAGGGTCTAGAAGGCTATTAACAGAGCAGGAGATAAGAAATTCTAAATGAAACAGAATATGCAATAAATTAAGATTAAACATTAGATCTCTGTTTAAGAAAGCTGTACAAGTCACATGCAAGGAAGTGTGACTAGGGCTGCATGAGCAAAGTGATTAGCCCCTAAATGGCAGAGAATTTAGCAATGTGATTGCAGAAGTTGTTTGCTGTCTTTAGTGTACCTTTAAGATAAGCTATCCCTCTGTTTATTCCTTTAGTGCATTTTCTTTCACAGCGCTTTTGCAATGTGTGTGTGTAATTCCAAGTTTTGTTTACGTTTTGATCACAACGTGTACATTTGGCTCAGTCCTTAAGGGGTTAAAGGGACACTGTAGGCACCCAGACCACTTCAGCTAATTGAAGTGGTCTGGGTGATGTGTTCCTTTTGCATTTAGTGCTGCAATGTAAGAGAACTGCAATGTTTACAGGACGTCCAGCGTCAGATTTTCCCCATAGGAAAGCATTGAATAATGTTTTCCTATGGAGACATCTAATGCGAGCGCGGGCTGAGCCTAACCCAGCACTGAGGGACATCAGCGCTGGATTCAGGTAAGTGGCTGTAGGGGTTTTAACACCTTCAGTCCCGCGGTATTGGGGTCGTGAGGGAGGGGGGCACTGTAGGGACCTATAGTGCGTTTTCCTGGCACTATAGGATCCCTTTAATGAGAGGTCTTTGTAAGCCTGGTGCTCTAAGCCATTCCTTTCCTCTTGAGTTTAGCTCTACTTAGGTAAGCATCTCAGAAGTCTCAGAAGCAGCAGCGGAACAACCAGGCATTATTGGAGCCCATCAGGGGCTCCGCTCATACTGGCAGGATGGGAGGAAGTGAGGTCACTTCCTCTCAGATAACAGAGCCACACGAGTCAGACTCTGACTCCCAGCAGACTGGACCTCAGAGAAACCACCCTCCTGTGCCCAAAAGGCAGGAAACTGGAGAATGGCAAAAAAAAATAAAAAAATCTGACCTATGTGTGTGTCAGTGCATGTTACTGTATATGTGCATGTGTGACAGTCTGTGTTTGTATGTGTGTTTTTTTATCTGCATGTGTGTCACTATTATTCTCTGTGTTTCTATGTATCTGCATGTGTCAGTGTTTGTATTTGTGTGTGTATGTGTGGCAGTGATGTATATATGTGCATACATCTCAGCATTCAACTGCCAAAACTACACACAGATAGACCCTTGCATTCAAATGTGAACACTATATACAAACACATCCCTGCATTCAAACATCAATACTACATTCAAACACAGATCTGTATTAAAACATCAACATTATATATATATATATATATATATATATATATATATATCAGAAAAAGCAATCCAGGGAGCACACTGGGTCTTGAAGTTAGTGGAAAAAAATTATTTAATGTATCATAAAAAATACATCAGCTGTGAGGTACACACAAATCAACGTTTCGACCCTCCTGGGGTCTTTACTGTGACAAGTGGCAACATCCAAAACAGTCGGTCCCTATGAGATGTGTCTCCCCTGGGAGACGGGTTGATCTTCTGTGAAGAAGACAGGGATCGAAGGAGTCTACATGTTGTCTGATAAAAGTGAGTTGGTCCATCCCGGTAGACGTGAAACCTGACCGCCTAATCTGTGGTCACCTGCAGTAGGGTGTAGCCGATCTAGTACTTCCTTATCAATCCATGTATTGTGAAGTATAGGACCAAGAAGTCTAGGTATACAACGTACGGGGTCGCGGTAGTGCCGTTGAGAGTCGTGCGAATATTCCCATGGCGTGGAATAGTCTACGAATCCTCTGAGCGAATAGTCTTCTACAAGTCTGGAGGTTCCAGCCGGTTCTCGGATGAACGTGGGTGTTGACAAGTTTTCAGTACCCTGGAGTGATCTGTATGAGGTTCTCCTGGAAGAGAGTGTCTCGTCTTCCCCGCCTGTATGCATTACTTCTTTCGGTAGTTTATCAGGGCCCACCAGACTCCAAGCTATTGGATCGGAAGGAGAGGATGTCCCCAGAAACCTGGGTAAGG